TGCGCTGTATCGCAAACTTGCATCATTGGCCCTTACTTCTTCGAAGATGGTAATGGTCGTGATGTTACCGTGAACTCAGAGCGCTACGTCGACATGATCACCAACTTCTTTCTCCCTGAATTACGACGGCGACGTGTTCCAATCCGACGTGTGTGGTTCCAGCAGAATGGGGCGACCGCCCACACAGCCCGAGCATCCATGGACGTTATTCGCCCTCTATTCCCTGGTCGCCTTATTTCCGATGTTCATTGGCCTCCTCGGTACCCAGATTTATCCATATGCGATTTTTTCTTATGGGGACACCTCAAGGCTAGAGTATACGCGAACAAGCCCCGAACTCTGGACGAATTGAGGTCGCCCAAGTTGAGAGAGGGATGTTGGAGAGAGTCTACGCGAACTTCCAAGAACACCTCCAGCACTGCATCAACGATTTCGGCGACCACATGCCTGATGTGATTTTCCACACTTGACTGTCTCAAATGCTATTTCCTTGTGAACCTGATTCCATCAATAAATTTGTTTTCGATTAAAAATTAACTATTTTATGATTTTTTTAAAACCGTCCATCCTCTCTGTCGCACCCTATAGATGAACATTTGGATAATTGTATTCGAATGGCGGCATCAAATTATATTCCAGACATTAAACAAATTGTCAGTGAGTCTGAGTGTCAGGCTTTTTTATCTGGATATGTTTTGTTTACAATAGTGCGTTGTTTTTTTTGTTTTTAGCTACCTTTATCAAATCGTATGTGACATGCCAATGTAGCTGACGAAAATGTTTGCTTATTTGTCAAACACATACGGTTGGTAGAAATGGATGAAGTTATGTAGTATGTATTAGGTATTAGTTTATTTAAGTTTATTAGTATGTATTAGTATTAGTAAAATAAACACATGTATGTCGCATACAACTGTGTATAATTTCATTTAAGTTGGCTTACATTGCTTACGACTAGATAGGTCACTGTTTATTCCAAAATTATCGAAGTAGCTCAACACACTGAAAAGGTTGACGATCACTATTTTAGAGAAATCGCTAATCGGGTGAATCGAAACGAAGCTACTGTAATGAGATGTTGTCGAGCGTGATTTCAAGAAGACCGAAATCGACGAGTTAGAGGTACTGGGCGTCAAAGACAGACTACAGAGCGACATGATCGTTATCGTTATTTGAGGCAACCAGCACTTAGAGCAGTGGGGGTTTAGAGGGGGCGTGCCCCCCCCCCCCCCTAGACGTCTGACACTTGCTTTTGTAATCTAACACCATTATGTTACTTTCTGACTCATCATGGCGACAGAAGCATACTAACTATAAGTTATAGCTATAGGAACTGAGTAATGCAATTTTTTGGTACCCCTTGGTATTCCAAATACATTCCTAACCTCAACTGTAGGATTTTCAACGACAGCATCTAAAACATTTTCTTCAACTTCAGCTGTATGTACAGTTCTGGGAGCTCCACTATGTTGGCCCATATTTTCAGCAAAACTACCTAAAATCCAAAGGGTTTTTACTATTCAAAATAAGGATATAATAATTTCTTACCAGATTCTCGATTCGTTGGAATGTCTTTGAATTAGGCAGGTTTCTATTAGGGAATCTGTCAGCGTACAATCTTCATACTTTTAAATCATTACATCTTGCCAATCCGTACATCAAACGCATATCAGAATATTTGTCAAACGTACACTCCATGATGCTTAACAACTTACTGTCAACTTAACATTATTCATGAAGCTTAAAGCAATATCATGACAAACATCAGAAACCATAGCAATGCAACTCAGATATTGTCCAAAGCAACTTATTTATTATTATTTTATAATCATGGTACAAATAATGCATTGGAACTTTTAAAAACAAATATCTCGAAAACTATTAGCTCTAGACACTTCTAACAGGTAAACCTTTTTTACCGAAAAAATGCTGTAAGTGGCACCCTCTAGAAGTTTGGCCATAAATAATAACCGATTCTTATTTCTCATACTAGAAAACCTCCCTATACCGAGTTTTATGCCAAAATCTGAACTACATGCGACTACATTACTTATGCTCGATGCTGACCGGAGGAGGACTGTCCGACTGATCTAGCTCTCTTCTATCGCTACACCAACGGGCTTTGCCCCTCAGAGCTCTCTTCCATGATGCCGCCGCGAGATGTGCCTGACAGACAGTCCTGCCTGACTTTGACGTCCCATTCTAACAATGTCGAAATTCGTACATCCAGAATTGGCCGATACAACCGCTCCTTGGTCCGGATGGTGTCGAGATTGTGGAACAATCGACAAGAGGAAGCTTTTCCCAGTTCTGCTAACCTCAGGCAGTTCAAAAATCGGGTTAACAAAATTTCTCTGGGATGCCATGATTATACACAACCATCAGCCATATTGGGCAAACATTTATTCCTCTATTTAATATTAAATAATTATGTTTCAGTTCGAAGTTACAGATATAAAGTGATAAACATTAGTGTAATTGTGTCTAGATAAAGGATTTGTGGAAGATTTGACGCAGATAATTTCAGTTTTCCATCTTAAAAATCGAGACATACTTTTGATCATTATCAAAATATGCATGAAATAAGAAGCCCGTAGAAATTGCGTAACTACTTTGCACGATAATCAAAATAAAATTTGCTGCGCAAGTAATTCAATAGCCCTATATCACAGAGTAGAAGTTTATCATATATATATACCTGTGTATTAAATTCACAATTACACATATGTAAGTAAACAAGATGACTGTAATGTGTTAGTTATATATTCTTCACTTCTATGCAATACATAAGAAATAGTTTGGTTCCAATAAAGTAGAATCACGTAACAGAATAGTTGTATAGCTGACAAAAACTTAATCTTGCACTGACGCAAATGTCCTATAGCGGCTGCAAGGGGCTTACACTTTTGTTGTATAAATGTTACCTGCAGCCCTTATACAACCTCTTAAATGACTGAAGTGTCCTATTAGGTGTGCCCATTCCGCTTGTATAGCTGTTCTAAGAGGGTTTTGCCAATGTTCTTACAGTATACAATGCTGTGTAAGGAATACTGTATAATCATTTTTGCAACTCTAATAGGAGTGATAATTGTTAGTTGGGTAGTAGACCCCGTTACGAAATTTGTCTATAGGAGTCTGAAGACGGTCTCAAGACACGATCTATAGATGGTCTATAGACAACTTTCTTTGTCTTGTCTAGCGTCTATACGATAATGTGAATTTTTTGGTCTCGTGTTCGTTTTCGCAATTAAAGACACTGTTTTGTGTGGAATGGATATGTCTCGGGGCAGAATCTTTTTTTTTTCGGTTAACAGAGCAATGAAGTTTTTTATGTTTGAATCTTTGATATTATTACACTAGTTAATTATAAATGCCAAGTACTTATTTTGTTCTCATATAATAAAATATTGTCTTTCTGAGGATTTCTGAGCATTTTTCACGTTTTTTTTTTCTTAAGCTGGCCTTGACCAGATAGAACACACTGGATTTAAGGAGCAATGATAGGATAAATTCTAGACGTTCCACTGAGGTTAAAAAATGACCAGCCCCAAATATCGTTTGCGCCTCTCCTAGATGAAATCCTAAATCCGCCCTTGACTTAGGCCCGTATCGTCAGTCGTCCCTACAATTGTAGGGCGCCTTTATGGCCTCCTAGATTGTCATAGTTTTCTACTTCTCCGTGTCAGCGCTCTATTTTGAGGTTATGTCACAAACATCTATTTGCATCAAATTGTGCTTGCTTTTGAGTTATATTATGTTTTATCAGCCTGAAATTTCCTACAATTTTAAAAGAAAACATATCTTCACAATAGGAGAGCGATGACGCTGACACGAGACAAGTGTAATCTAGAAATTTTTGAAGGAGAGAAAGGAATATGACAATCAAGGAGGCCATAAACGCGCCCTACAATTGTAGGGACGACTGACGATACGGGCCTTAGAGACCGATTTTACACAACAAGGGCATGTGAGGACCAGTGGTTTGATACTGTCGAAGTGGCAATAACAATGAGGACAGTTCATCGCCGAATAAGGTCTTTTGGACTGTTTCCATACCATCCCCAACTTGTACTACTTTCTGAACCCACAGCATCGTCGGCAACGGTTGGGATGGAGTAAAGAGAGACTTGAATCGAATTTGGAATGGAACTCAGTTCCAGCGATGAGTCCAGATTCTGTTTGGACACACAAGATGGCCATGCAGGAGTAAGGAGGAGACGTGGTGAAATGCGGAATGTCGAATATTCCATTAAATGGCATATTCATCGCACTGTGGGTGTTATGGTATGAGGTGTCATTGCTTATGGCAGCAGATCACGATTAGTGTTCGTTCGAGGTAGCATGACTGCCCAGCGCTATACCCAAGAAGTTTCACAGCCACATCTGCTTCCCTTTTGGAAACATTGCAAGATCCACTTTTTCAGCAGGACAATGCACAAAATCATGTCGCACGTGTTAGTTTAGACTTTTTCGAAGCGTCCGGAGTAAACCTGCTTCAGTGGCCTTTTCGATCTCCAGACCTTCCCGTTATCGAACATATATGGGACATGATGGAAAGGAGGTTGCAATACGCAAACATTGGAACCTGTATGAAACCACATTCAAAGTGAGCGGGACACAATACACCAAAAAGGCATCAATCACCTAATCCAATTTTTGCGAAATTTCGAGTTAAAGTTTTAATCACTTTTTATTTATTAGTAGACCTAAAACTTGTAAAAGTATGCTCAAAATTACAATACTCCTGAATGAATGAACGAATCTTAAAATTAGAGGCATCCCGGCCACCATAAGGAGCCAGTGCATAGGCCGCTTAAGCGGGCCCTTATGCACCTCTTCAATCCTTAAATCACAAGCCTCGCCCTTTTAGCGAAGTTGAGAATCGCCAAGCTCCTTGACGCCCTGAGGGTCCAAAGTAATCCAGTAATCCAGTTCAGTTTGCAATCCAGGATAATTCCCAGATATTTCAGTACTCCTAGTCGGTGTTGGATTTTCTATGTCATTTAGTGTCCTTTGGTATAAAAGGTAGTTTGGTAGATGCGGGCTTCCACTATAACATCTCAATAGATTCAGACGCTATCTGACGCACAACACTAGGTTGGAGATGTTGTCCTGTGAATATTTTAGGGGCAAAAGATAGCTGAAAATCGGTTTTTCATCTTATCTCTGTACAATCGTGGCTCTAAAAGTAAAGTCAAGAGGTACTTCATAGTAGTCGGGCACTAATTTTGAGGCACTGTTTTTATAACACAGGAACTACTGAGTCAATCTTCCTCTATTGTTTATTACCTTTAATAAACTTAATTTGTATCTCATCAGAAGAATCACATTTTCATGCTAGACATGTTTCAATTGCGAGAATTTAGTGCGAAGTTTGTGAATCCCCTATGAGGCCGGCCACCATCGGTATGGACCCATAACTCGATTTCTGCATTCGAAAATCCGTGAACAGTAGTACGAAACATACTATATCAAAACTACGAACATTTCTGTTTGAGCATTGTCTGCAAGACGCCAACTTCCAAGGACTATCTTGATTTGATCTGAAAGGATTCCGAATTGGAATACCTGCTTATGTGTTACATTTATGATTAGTCTTTTCCAATTCTAAAGAGAATTACAGGGTGGTCCATGAGTCCTTTGAAATTTCAAATTTGAATAAAATTTAACGGGTGAGCGTGAGCGGCGCGGGCGAGGTGGGGGCAGTATCTTCAGTGTCTGGGAATTCAGTCGCCATGGAGTGTTTCACTGGAGCGGATCGTGCTTTTTGTGTGCGCGCGTTTTATCAAAATAATGATTCGGCAACCATTGCGCGGCGTAAATATCGAGAATACCACAATTTACACAATTTTACAAAGTGTCCAACAGCTCAAACGATTAAGAACTGGGTTGCTAAGTTCGAAGAGACTGGTTCGACGTTAGATAAACAGCGGTGGGGTCGACCAAGGACAACTCGTATTGAAGAAAACATCAACATTGTGGCACAGTCTGTTCGTCAAAATCCTACCCAGTCTACTCGTAAGCGTTCCAGTGCACTAAACGTACCCAGAACATCTTTACAGCGGATTTTAAGGAAAGATTTACGTCGGCACGCTTACAAAATTCAGTTAGTGCAGGAATTAAAAGATAATGACGCTATTCAGAGACAAAACTTTGCGAATGAAATGTTGAATCGATTTTCTTCGCTCAATAATGTGTTGTTCTCGGACGAGGCTCACTTCCATTTAAACGGGCATGTAAATAAACAAAATTGCCGTTATTGGAGCCCCGAAAATCCAAGGCGTAAGCATCAGAAGCCCTTACACAGCCCTAAAGTTACAGTTTGGGCTGCTATGTTAGCGCATGGCATCGTAGGCCCTTATTTTTTTGAGGACGACAGAGGTCCCGAATTAACTGTCACTTCGGAGCGGTATGTAGCAATGATAGAAGAGTTTTTGACACCAGCGTTGCAGAATTTTCCAGGCTATAATACGCAGACCTGGTTTCAACAGGACGGAGCAACTGCCCACACCTCCAACACTTCTATGCCCGTCGTCTGTCAACTTTTTCCCAGCAAAGTAATTTCTCGAAGAGGAGACATTTCCTGGCCACCACGTAGTCCAGATTTGACCCCAATGGACTTCTTTTTATGGGGCTATCTCAAGAGTAAAGTGTACGACACCAATCCGCGATCAGTTGATGTCCTGAAAGAAAATATCCGAAGAGAAATGGCAAGTATTACAGTGTTGACTTGCCGCGCAGTCATCGACAATTTTAGACGTCGTTTATATGAGTGCCGTGATCGTAATGGATTGCATTTAGACGATGTGATTTTTAAAACATAATTCCCATTCAATAAAGATGATAACAAAATATAATAATTCTTCATAATGTAACTAGTTTGGTTTTATTCCTTTTTTTCCAGCTCAAAGGACTTATGGGCCACCCTGTATTTTCCGTTCGAATACGATTCCTGATAATGCAACAACAGACTTATCGATTTCATTTCATGTTGATGTAATTACATGATTTTCTGGCCAAATATGTATAAATCACTGTTTACTAACGTTTCGATCACTACGATGGCCTTTTTCAAAGCACAATGACAATTACGACATATTTTATATTTATCTGCCTTTCAGGTGACAGCTCATTAATTTTTTTTCTCATCCCCTGCAATATTCAACTACTAATGCTCCAAGGGCACCTTAGTGTTTGTCTTGTGAGTAAAAATATAAGTCAGAACAGTTTGGCTTTGAGATGGCGAAGCAAATCATTCATAACGTGCAATATGTATGGTATATTAGAAAGAGTGAGCTGATGGTATCCGTGACCTCTTACTCGGGTTGATAGGCAACGAGGTGCTTCTATTTCTTTCTAACACACGTATTTTTGAAGCTGAACAAATTTGCATATGTAATTTCCAGGATGAAGCATACATCTCAAGTAAGTGTATTTAAGGCGCGAAGCCAAGGGAATTATCATCCACACAGATTATCAGCACCCAAATCCTCACTAAGCACCTATGCACTGCCGTTTCGCCCGTTTCTTTTCAGCTAGAGTATAAAACTTACACCTTAGACCTAAAATAATGGAATCTCAGTAGCAGATCATCAGAGCCAAACCATGATAGCTCGAGCGTCATGTTATTTAGGCAACACGTACTGCTGTACAAACGAGTGCACAACAAGTAAACAACAGCTAGTAAATATCTTGTAGGAAAACCTACATAAAGTCACAAAAAACAATTATGATGTCGAAAAACCGACATGATGTCACTTTTCAAGATACGTCTTACCCCTGCCGGTTTTCGACATCCAAAAGCTGTTTGACGGTTTCTTATTTGAATTACAACTTTCATTCATTTTTGGCAATTATTTTATTTGTGTGGATCCACGAATTCCTAATACGGAAAACGAATAGGAGACCATACCATGAGCAACCAGTCCTTGATTAGGAACTTACCGTGGGTGCGATTGCAGGACCGATGGAGGAGACTCTGCCCTCCTATGCAGTAAGCTACCTGGCAAACTCAAAGAATCCCTCCGTTGAGTACTTCCATGTTGTGATGAGTAGTGGTCATCCTTCCGGTGACATGGTAACGTAGTTAGAGATGCAGCATCCCTACGTCGTGTGATGAGAGAAGAGAAACCCTGTTTTGTTAGAGTTACTGGAGTAGAATCTCTTCTTTGGCATGATGAAGAGAAGTCGTCCTCCTTGTACAGCAAGCTGGGCGGCAGCTCGTTGTTAACATTGATGAGGGGAATCGAGTGTGGTTGGTAGTATGTTTCAGTATCAGATATAGCAACGAAACGGGGAGATGGAGGCGGACTGAAAAAACAGACAGGAGTGATAAGATCTGTTTTTTTTTTATGGTTCAAAATCACAAAAATTGGAGCATCATTGTTCAGCAGCAAAAGAGCTTCAAACGTATTTACACCGAGAACCTTTTGATATTTTTCGAGGGCTCAAAAATTCTGAAAACTGTCAAACTAGGTTTTTTCTTATTTTTAAGTTTCTTCAGGACGTAGTCAAAAGTCTCAATGGGCTCAAAAATGCTTAAGTCGAATAGGTCTCATTTTTTGAGATATGCTTAGAGGAATTTTGTCTCAAAAATTTTAAATGAGAAACAGCCTCATACTTCGCCGGAGAGGCGTTGAATTTTACAAGAATCTTTTTTGCATGCATGCTGTCGCTATAAACGCCGTCATTAATTACACTGCCTCAGAAAGAGGGTTATGTTTTTCGCGCGTGGGTAAGCATGTAATGTATGTATACAGGGTGTTTTAGTTTATTATTGCATAACTTTAAGATTCGATAGAACTTTTAAAATTAATGCATAAAGTCTATATAAACATGGGTCGAAAAATGCGTGGCTTCCGAAATACAGGGTGTTTAAATTTACTTTCTAAAATAGTTTTTCTAAATATTTTTAACAATATTTGATGTATAACAGTGAAAATTGGTATGCAAGGGTTTTTTGGTACGACAAAACGAACCATGGGCATAGTTTTACTGTAGCCGCTAGAGGGCGCTCTCTACTGTACCTGTAGTGTATTAAAATGACCGAAAAAATTTTCTTAGTGCAATTTTTTGCTTTTTGAATAAAAAAACTGATTCTTCGTACTTTTCAACATACTCCTGTGAGTTTTCGTTATAGTTAGCCGTTTTTGAGATATTTCGATTTTTAAGGTTCGATGCATTTTTAATTATTTATGGGAAAATAATATTTTTTTTTACATTTTCGATTTGGGCATTACAAGCAATTAAGATGATCGTTTAGATTGTGTTTTTAAACACATCAATAATTCCTAACTCCAAATAAACACAAAAAAACAGAATATTAATTTTTTTAATTTTCTAATATTATTTTTAACAAATTAATTGAATATTGGATGCTATTGGATAGTTAGGACAAACATACAAAATCTAAAGTAGTTGCTCGAAATGTAAACCCAATTGTTCAATACACAATTCACATCTACGAATGATCGAACGTGGTATAGCATTATTCAAATAAGGCCTTATTTCATCACATGCATTCCTGATTCTGTCTATTAGCATATCTCTTGTGGTTACGGGAGTCTGGTACACTTTTTCCTTTAGAAATCCCCACACAAAGAAATCTAATGGATTTAGGTCAGGGGATCGTGGAGGCCAGGCGACTGGCCGATCCATCTTTCTGGATAATTTTGGTCCAGCCAGTTTCTAACTACTCTCGAATAACGAGCTGAACAACTATCAAGTTGGAACCAGGCCAATCTTCTTAAATCTAGCATAACATCATTCCACATATTTGCATGTTCAGCCTTTAAAAATTCCAAGAAGTTCGCAGCATTTAACCTTGCAGGCAAAAGGTAGGGTCCAAATAGTCGATTACGGTAGATACCAATCCACACGTTCACACTAAATTCATGCTGAAAATTTCTTTCCCCAACTGCATGCGGATTTTCATGCGACCAAATATGTTAATTATGAAAATTTACCACTCCACGTCTAGTGAAGCATGACTCATCGGTCTATAAAACGTTACTTAAAAACTCCCTATTATTATCAGTTCTATCAAGAATCCACTGACAAAATGTGATTCTTCGTTCTCCGTTCCCTGGCTGTAGTCCTTGCACAGGTTGCAAATGGTAAGGACGTCTATGGTCATTTCTAAGAACACGGTGAACATGGCTTGCTGAAATTCCCAAGGTACCAGTAACTCTCCTAACACTTGTGGTCGGATCTCTATCAAACTCACGCAGAATCATACGGGTAAATCTGCGCTGACGAACATGTATGTGTTGATCCCTTTGGAGATTTCCAAAACCATTTTCAATTATTTGGCGATGCACTCTTACAAATACTGAGTGAGTTGGATGTCGTCTGTTTGGAAATCTTCGTGCGTATTCTCTGGCTGCTTCTGCCGCGTTTCCATTTACAAAGCCATACACAAAATGAATATCCGCTAACTCTTGATTGAAGAATAAAAATGGCATTTTTATAAAACTTACAAAAAAAACAGGTAAAAGAAACTAAATTTCGTGCATTCACAATTGCAAAAAAACGTTTCAGGTTTCAACAGACAACAAAACTAACTGTCAACTAATTGACGTTTAACCTCATTCTGCTTTCAATTTCAAAAATATTTGCAGACACAGCCTACTTCTAAAAATTATCGAGATACTGACTTTTTAACGTTATTTTATCATAAATAATTAAAAATGCATCGAACCTGAAAAATCGAAATATCTCAAAAACAGCTAACTATAACGAAAATTCACAAGAGAGCTTTTTTATGTTGAAAAGTGCGAAGAATCAGTTTTTTATTCAAAAAGCAAAAAATTGCACTAAGAAAATTTTTTCGGTCATTTTGTCGTTTTCTCGTACCAAAAAACCCTTGTATACCAATTTTCACTGTTATACATCAAATATTGTTCGAAATATTTAAAAAAAACTATTTTAAAAAGTAAATTTAAGCACCCTATATTTCGGAACCCACGCATTTTTCGGCCCATGTTTATATAGACTTTATGCATTAATTTTAAAAGTTCTATCGAATCGTAAAGTTATGCAACAATAAACTGAAACACCCTGTATACGAGGCTTGTTCAGTACCCGTGTTTGACGACATAGGGTGTTCCTGAGGGAAATTGGTGTTATCATCGTATGTTGCCATCTATCAAATGACGGCACAACAAATTTCAGACTGGTTGATGGGTTAATTTGGATTTGGCAGCCATTCGAGTAACACGTGTTTCGTGATTTTCGCTAACATGGAAAAAATAGCAGTATCGTTCGTTAATTCGCTTTTTGTTTTTGGATGGGAAGAAATGCGAGGAGATAAAAGCCAAGTTGGATGCTGTTTATGAGGACACTTCGCCATCTATGGCCGTAGTTAGATATTGGTTCAACGAATTTACAAGTGGGCGCAAATCGGTTTTTGATGAGGAGCGACCAAATCATTCAAAAAGGCCTCCACATTATTCTCGCTGATCGACTAATGAAAGTGCGCGAAGGAGCAAAAGCCGTACGTGTGTCGACTGGAATGGCAATGAATATTTTACATGGTAAGTTGGAGATGAAAAAAATTGTCTGCTTGATGGGTGCCGCGATTGCTCACGGTGGGCAACACGCGGATGTGGCTGTTAACTTCGAAGCAGTGATTGGGCAATTTAGAAAAAGGAAGAACGATCACAGTGAGTTATTGGAACCCTTCGACAAAAAATTTAAGGAGCCACGGCCACATTTGGCGGAAAAGAAGGTGCTGTTCCACCACGATAACGCAACACCACATTCATCCGGAGATGTCACCGCCAAACTACATGAATTGCGTTATGAAGTGCTTCCGCACCCCCGTATTCACCCGATCTGGCCCCCTACGACTTTGCCTTGTTCTTCAACATGATGAAATGACTCGCGGAAAAAATTTTGCTTAAACGAGGAAGCCATCGTCGAAACAGAGGCCTATTTAGGAGAGTTCGACAAATCCTACTTGGAGGGGTTAAAAAATGTTGGGAAAAGTGTATCTAAAAATAAAAAAAATTCTTTTAGAAAAATGTGTCTTCATTTCTAACACGGGTGTTTATTGAACCACCCTCGTATATACACAAAAAGTTCTCACGGGCTATAGGCCAAACAGTTTGACGTATTTTGACATATGAGGTGTTGTTGGATTCGTCTTAGCAAAGCAAGTGACACTGGGTATATTAAAATTTTATAAAAACGAAATGGTAAGTCTGACTTAAAAATACAGCCTTCAAATTCCTATTTCACGAACTACAGCTCAAATGGCTGGCTTGGATTTTGACATATGAAGTGTCCTCAGATATGTTTTAATAGTGCGAGTAATTTTGAGTATTCTTAAAAAAACAATTTCGAAACTCATATTGTCCGGGCTGCGGCTTAAACACATTTGTTCTGACAATACGGGTGTCACTGGCTATACTGACTTAAATTTTGTAAAATTAAAATTGCTGACTAAATAATAAATCCCAACCATGAAATTTCTATTCCAGGTCAAACAAATTGATTAACTTAACGTAGGAAGTATCTCTACATTTCTCATGATATTACGAATTATACTGGGTACCTATACTAAAATTTAGCAAAGTCAAAATAGCGGATTTTAAGCTCGAACTTCAGCTTTGAAATTTCTATTTTACTGGCTGCAACACAAACGGCTTTATAGATTTAGACATTTGAGGTGTCCTAGATTCGTAGCACAATTAAGCCTTCGCTCTTTTCAGTCACTACAGTCGAGCTGCTTATATTTTTTTGAAATGTAGTTATTTGATGAATTATAAACAAAAAATATTGGTTCAACGTTTTATTTACGCCCACCGGCATTATACAATAATACATACATTAAATGTTGAAAACATATGAAGCTGTAATTTGAGCACACTTGACGAATGTTTTGCAAACATCGCCGTCATACTAGATCCGCCATTTAGATGATTCGAGCAGTGTCGTAGCAAGGGGGGGCGGTAGCGGCATATCGGGTGACTCAACTTTTTCAGAGTTGATCTCCAAACAAGATCGAAGTCTATCCAAAACCTAGCTTCATTGTTGTTTGAGATCGTACAAACAAATACTTTGCTTTTGGCGAATACTGAAGAACTAAAATTAGCTACATCGAAATTTACTGATTTTTATGATGAGGTCTCAGAAACAGAATTACTTTTGGAGATATCAAGACTGCGAAGACATTTAAAAGCGACTAATGTTACAGTTTCTGATTGAGTATCTCTAGTTTATTGTAGAATGCAATTTTACAGAATCTCTTCCAAATTTTATGATTACACTAAAAGGAGTTTCAATAAACTGACATTTTAAAAAAACTTTTTGGGCAATACAAAATATAAATGTTTATGAAGTTATTTCTGAGTTTGCAGCTGTCAAAGCAAGAAAGAAGAGATTTAAATTGTAAGATAAAAATATTTTCTGTCTTAGTTTTTAATGTATTCTGTTATTTGTTCAATATTTTGAATATAAATATTAAATGATTCATGACGTTGATAAATCATATAAATTTTATTACTTTTGACTTTCGATGGGGTTACACCACCAAATTCCGCAGCATTTTTTTGCAAATATTTCCGCCATATGAAATCCGCCGTTTTGATCTTTGACAAATGGATGGATCATATTCGTTACCAGCGACATAAAAAATTTAGAAATGGATTTTTTTTGACAAAATTCAGTGAATCTTTCAGAAATATTAATGCGTGGTCAAAGATACTCATAAATATTTCGCATATTATTGGTATTGTACTTGAGAATTTATAGTTTGGTATACAGGCTGAAAACTTGCATTAGATTTTGCGGTTAGCACTTAACGGATTTTTTCATTTCACACGTCGGGGACCCTCTAAGCTGGGGATCCAGTGTCATTGATACGACTGATACGACTTCTTCTATGCCCTTCTAAAATTTCATTCGTCCTATGTTTCAAAGATGACGCGAGTTGACAAAAAATTATTTCTTATTGTCCCACGTTTTGGAAAAATCCTTGGGAAGTACAGTGCCAACGCACGTGACCCCACTGTTTGTACATGAAGAATATTTCCATCCAGAATATCCACGTACCTGATTTCTTCGTGAACAGTGTCCATGAGGGATTCTTAATTAGGAACGTAGCACCTTCCCTAGAGCACCGTAAACAAAGGCTTTATTAAAAACTTAAAAACTACAAAGAATTGTATGCCGGCAGAAGCGCAGAAATACGACCGGTATAATTTAGCGGAACATGTACCGAAGTAGGGAGAAGTTTCGCCCAATGATAAAAGTTTAATTTGAATAAATCCGAAGCCAGACTACTGCAAAACTGAAATATACTGAGCGACAGAAAAGGTAAACGCCTACGCATGTTTATCCGATTTAAATAATTTTTGGCATATATGTTCAGTGTCCCTTCCTAGTACAATGATTAAATTTTCAGCTTGATTCGTCAACTGACTGCAGAAGCTGGTTCAGTAATGTGTTGAGGATCCACGATTTATTTATTTATTTATTTCCAACAGGTGAAACCCAATTACAGGAAATGCTGAAAAAAATAACAATTAAAGAGACATGGTTCTTGGACTTAATCTATAGTATCACACATTCTAAATAAGATTGGATGATCTATAGCAGTTAATAATCGATGCACAACTGTCACTGTAAATATCACACGATTCAGTAACACTGTTCATGATGCAGCACATGAAATTTATTGGCGATTTTGTCATAACATTTATACGGCCAGCTTGACAATAGAATATCGTTTGTTGTCGACTCCCTAGCCTTGGAACGCGGAAACATATTTTTTTAAGTAAATTTTGACAGTCAATTTTATGGTGAATGAGGCCATACAAAAACGACAAAGCAGATATGTTTCGTCTTGTTGACAGTGAATCCAAATTGAAAACCTCTAATAGGGCACTATGGTCACAACCTCTTTCTAGATAAGAACCTGTGCATTTAAGGTGAAAATACTTTAAAGCTTTGCGTTAAATGGCCTCAAGGATCACGACAGAATTTTGGTATATAGGAGACCAGATCAGAGTCGCATACTCCAACTTGCACCTGACAAAAGTAAAAAATAAAGTCATTAATGTATCAACATTGGAGAAACCCTTCCAGTTTCTGATACAGAAACCAAGTAGTCGAGTGGCAGCCGACGAGATATTGAGTATATGCTCAGTAAACGTTAGCTTGGTATCAAAAATGACTCCAAGGTCTCTATAAGAGATGCATCTGTCTATAACCTGACCATTGATGTTATAATTATCATAAATTAAATAGTTAACCTTTCTTGTATAAGTCATAACTTTACATTTCGAAACATTCGGACTGAGACAGTTTCGTGAACACCATGACGAAATTAGAGCTAAGTCATCTTGCAACATGACGCAATCCTCGACTGTCTTGACTGACGTGCAGATTTTAAGGTCATCAGCGAAAAACAAATGGAAACATTTCAGTTCAAAAGACAAGTCATTAATAAATATCAAAAACAATAATGGACCTAGACCCTTGAGGTACCCCGGACGTGGCCCGATAGTAACTCGACCTATGACCACCATATTCGACAAATAACCTTCTATCCCTCAAATATGAATTCATGAGCGACAGCATTGCATCAGACATACCCACTGTTTTAAGCTTATCCAGAAGTGCATAATTATCAACTTGATCAAACGCCTTCTGAATATCTGTGTAGATGACATCAACTTGTCCCTGACCGTCCAGTACTTCAGAAATGTACTGAGTAATTAGAGCCAAGTTGGTGACTGTAGATCTGCCTGTCATAAACCCATGCTGATTAATAGAGATTGCACCCCTGAGCGAGCAGTAAACCGTTTCATAAGCGATGATCTCAAACAACTTGCTGAAATTGCACAGGATTGCTATTTGGCGACAGTTGGAAATATCAGAGATATCTCCACTTTTGTGAATAGGACATATTTTAGAGGTCTTCCAGATATTTGGATATATCTGTGATTTTAGAATTAGGTTGAATATGGAAGCCAGCGGTTTCGCTAGTATATGAATGCAATCTTTAACGAAAAAACTTGGAATACTATCACATCCAGACGTCATTTTGTTCTTTAATCTTTTCGAAGCCTTAATTACGTTTTTTTCACTTATATTTTTTAAAGAAATGATATCGGTAGAATTATTTGTTGGAGGAGATGACCCTAGTAGACCAGCCGGGATAAAAGAAGGTAGCAAAACTGTCCACTATATGCTGAGGCGTATCGCAGACATTGCCGTTAAGCGTCATCCTTGAGGGGGAGGATTCTAGATTGCTGTTTTTTTAACTGGGCAAATGACCAGAATTTGCTACGATCATTGACAATGGCATCCTCAACCGATTGGACGTAAGCGGAGTAGGCAACACTGATCTGGTTCTTAATGAGCTTCCTAAAATTACTGAACTGATCATAAGAAAACTTAGTAGCGTCACGTTTCCAGTTCCTTCTTGCTATGTCCTTCTTCTTGATATTAAGTATAATTTCACGTGTGAACCATGGGGGATACGAAAACATTTTATTTTTACATTTAGGGACATGGACTTCAAAGATGTTATTGATAACTGAATACAAGGCGGTACAAGCGACATCATCATTACGATTTCTTATACACTCATTGAAACGCCTGTACATCGTGCTGATAAAGTGGTCGATATCCTGTTGAGGTATCTCAGTTCTTCGTGAGTAAGAACTACTAAAGACTGTGGAAGGTATTGCACATTCAAGAGCCTGCGGCCTATCATGTTCCGGACATGTTCAATTGGAGATAGGTCAGGCAATCGTGGCGGCCAAGGTAAACGATGTTGATCCATGAAGGCTCACGATGCTCTGGCAATATGCGGTCTGGCATTTCCTTGCTGAAAAATCGGGTTTTGGATGGTGTTTATGTATGGAATAAGTTGAGGCTTCCCTACTTCCTAAATAAAGCGTTGGGCTGTCATATTGCCTATGATGAAAATTAGTGGTGATCTGCTACCATAAGCAATAGTACCCCATACCATAACTCCCAAGGTGTGGTGAGCGTGACGCGCTCTGTCAAATCCTTCCATGCTCTTCAAACCACTGATTAGCGATGGCTCGTGTACTACTGAATCTGTCTCTCAGAGCCAGAAGTCTTAACTGGCGTCCCTCTGGGACGACCAGAACCCCTCGCTCGGTGTCCTTTGCCTTCCTGAGTCTACGCTCGTTCACAGTGCAATATACTGCGTAAGAATCTGTTGGTCTTCCTCGAAACTTCTCTTATCGGTAGACCGGCTTCACGCAACCTGAGAATTCGACCTCTCTCAATGTCACTTAGCTGGAACACCCGCCGAATTGTTCGCACTCTAGGCATTTTGAGCAATCACAAAAAGGCTTCTCAATAACCTACACGGAATTTTAAATTTAACTGACACCGTACTAAAACTGAATGCTTCTTTATCACCAAACAATACACGCAGCCACCACAAAAACTTAACAGACAAACCTGACCATTTTATCACTTGTTGATCATTTGATAAATCGATATGTAAAAAATTCTTTAATTCTAATAATCATACGTATTTTTTGTCACTCAGTATAGTTTCAGTCAGTATTTGCTTTTCCGACAGATTTATTTGTCTAGCCTGTTAGGAGTATTAAAATGAACATCATAACTGACACGGTATGAGATGATGTTCTTTATTAGTCATTTTGCGCCGCATTTTTTCATACAAGAGCAAGAAAAGATCTGTATCAATAAAATGGTGGTTTGGAGTAATATGGTTTTTGGTTGTCTCTTGTGGGCAGTTTTTACTTCCTGCGTCACTACAACATACACAACATTATGACATGTACAGGGTGGCCAACTAAGAATACGAGGTACTGTATCTGGGGACCTATCCATCGTATAGGCTTAACCCAAAAGCAGTTATTACTAAAACGGCGAGGAGAGAAATCTGTAAAATATTTCCGAGTTTCTGAAATTGCCGCTGGATAATCTGAACCTTTTTCGCTTGACAATGTTTGCTGTATCTCTAAAAATAAAGTGGTGAGGGTATACAAATGTTTCCGTAAAAAACATCCTGTATCTTCGAAACGGCTGAGCCGATTTTAACAAACTTAGGCTAGTTGAAAAGAGCTATTCCTGGACTACAAACGTTATAGGATTTGAAGTTTTGTTAGTTTCACATGTGACCGCTAGAGGGGTTTTCTTGACAGAAATGGTTGATTTTTTCAAAGGAATTAATGGCATTGGTATGATTTCTTTATGAGGAAGTAGCTAAATGATGTCTGAACAAGCTCGTGAAAACCTTATCTCGATATCTTGTTCTTAACCTATTTCATTAAATTTTCATTTTTTAAAAACTAATTTTTCTGGTATTCTTTTTTATTTATCAGAATAAAAGCACTCTTTTTGAAAATATTACAAAATATCGCTAGATAAGTAATGCTAATAACAAATCGCATATCTTTTGATAAATGCATATTCACTATAGGTATATACGAAAAAGACAATTAATAGGAGCTGGCCATGGAATACAACAATACAAATACCTAATAAAAACATAAATAATTCTCTAATTGTCAGTTGTTTTGAGCGGTTTTTATGATTACCAAATGCGTTTTAAGACCGTTGATATGCTTGCAGTTTAATTTGAAATGTCTTCAGAGTGCCGCAGTAGCAAAAAGGGTTTACGCGGCTCGATATCCAAATCCGCGTCTTCACGATGAGTGGTAAGCTTACGAGCCAAACAGGGTGATTTTATTCCGATCAACAAAAAATAATTCCAAGAAAATTAGTTTAAAAAAATAAAAACTTAAGGGAGGTAACTCGAGCGATACGTATCGCTCGGGTTACCTATCCTATATTCTGCTCGAATCCACTTTCCTTCTTTTTGCGGATGTTGCCCATTATTTTCCTATTTTTTGTTATATACCTTTATCCAAATGATCACTTTCTCTCTCTCTATATATATATATACTAAGTGACATATAAATCCGAACACCCAATTTAAATGGTTTTATTTTAATAAAATTTTGTATAAGTACTTAATGAAGCATAATAATTAAATGATAAAAATTTCAAAATGATTGCACTGCTTTAAAGCCCTTTGACCTTTAATAATGTGTGGATGCACCCTGATGTGCTACGCATTCTCCAACGCGCCTAGGCATGCTTCTGATCAGATGGTCAATGTCCTCCTGTGGTATCTCATTCCAGGCAACTCCTCTCGAAGTGCTTCTTGCAACATGTGGTCGGGCATTATCTTGTTGGAAAGTTGGATCTGCCAGGGTGTCAAGATAGGGTAAAAGA